TTCAAGGACCTGATATATAGTCATTAGGTCTCCAGAATTTATTCATCTTATAACTCAAACTTTGTATCCTCTGATCAATATGTCGCCTTTTTCCCCACCCCAGCCTCTGATAACCACCATTCTACTCTCTCTGTTACTCTAAGTTTGACTTTATTTTAGATTCCCCACATAAGTGAGATCATATGATATTTGTCTTTCCGTTAATGGCTTATTTCACTCAGCATAATGTCCTTCAGGTTTCACAGTAGCTTCTAAAAACACAGTAAGAAATATCCATTAATTAAGCCAATACTATCTGATGAAACAGGTAAACCCCCCTCCCCCAAATCCTAGTAGTGTAACATATCAGAGGTTGATTTCTCATCCTCATAGTGACCCAGTAGTAACTGGGGATGGGGATTCTAAAGGGTGATTTAGGGATTTGTATTGATGAGGATTGCTATCTTCAAATAGAGTTTCCATGATTGTCCTGGGCTCAGTATTTGGACTCTAGATGGCAGATAGCAGTGGTTCTCAACCTTCCTAATGCCGCGACCCTTTAATACAGTTCCTCATGTTGTGGTGACCCCCAACCATAAAATTATTTTCGTTGCTACTTCATAACTGTAATTTTGCTACTGTTATGAATCATAATGTAAATATCTGATATGCTATATGTGTTTTTCCGATGGTCGCGACCCACAGGTTGAGAACCACTGGTCTATATATATATATATATATATATATATATAGAGAGAGAGAGAGAGAGAGAGAGAGAGAGAGAGAGAGAGAGAGAGAGGAGGGGACTATGTGGTGGGTTTTTATGAACCAGCCCTAAAAGGGCTTTCATCACTTCCACCAGCGTGCCATGTGCGGTGGGCCCTGCAGTGGTAGGGAGCAAACAGCATGCATGTTATTTAGCAGCAAATTCTTCCGGCCAAAGAGAAAAACCCCACATTATTTCTATCCAGAAAGTCCTAGCTGAGCAGGGGAACAGACACAGAGGTCTGTGCAGCTATGACAAGTTACTCTCTTCAAACAGCTTTGCCTGACTCAGTATGAGGAGTTCAGTTTATAAAGCTGATGAAAGAGGTTTGTTAAAAAGTGCCATGGTCTGGGTTTACCTATATGGCAGGAAAGCCTGTTCTCAACAGACATGCATTCAAATGGAGGCCTGGGTCAGAGTTAGGTCACAGGCAAGGGATGCAGACAGAGCATCAGTGACTGAGTGTTCACCACCTCTCCACACTCCACCCGCTGGGGCCAGTTCTTGTTTGCTGGTTGGCTCCCGGGACATTTTTATTCGGATCAGAATGGTGGATAATGAGAATAACCAAAAAAGCTGAATGGGCCTAACGTCTTTACTTCTGAACCGACAGAGAGTTATAGGGAAGAGGCAATGTTACAGGATGGGAAAAAGAAGATAAAACAAGCATAGAATGAGTTCATGAGTTTGTGAGACTTGAGAATGATGGAAGACTTCAGTTTGAGAGGAACTGCTGCATGGGAAGATACCGAATGATAGAGAAAAAGGATGAGACAAAAGGAAAGTTTAATTTTTTCTGAACATTTTGTTTCATGAAGACACCGAATAAGGTTTGAACTATTTTAATTAATTTTGGGATTAAAGACTTCTGTTATCTTAGGTGTGACTCCACGCCAAGGGGAGGCAATTGAGCTACAAAAATGCTACATCATAAGAAGCAGGGGACTTCAGTCCAGGATGGAGGGCATGGTACTGTCGTCAATAAATAATTGTTAAATGAAATCTTCCTTTTGCAAGAAATATTTTTAGTACAGATGACATCCATTTCTTTCTCTTCATCTCAAGCTTCCTGATGTTGTAGCTCTAGAGAAAAAAAAGCTTTAGCCAACAGCAATCTTACCTCTCTGAGATCAATGCAAGTGACCCTCAAACTGGGCCACTTATGCTACCACTTAAGTCAATTTCTTGTTCTTCCTTCATCAGTGTTAGCTTGTGCTCCAAGTCTTATGAAAGGAGGCAATCACACTACCATGGAGAGAAAAAGAAAATAAAAGAAAATCTGTCTGCTAGGAATCCTTTTCATGCAAATGGCAGAAATCCAACTTGAATGAAAGAGTTAGAAAAGTCATGGGTGTCCTGCAGGGTCTTGGTGATTTCACTGTAATTAGCTAGTTATTCATAATAGAAAAGGAGCAAAAGGGAGGCCACAATTATAGGCACTGACATTTGGGCAGCTTCACCAGGAAGCTGCAATTTCACACTCCCCAGGCAACCCCTAGCCCATTCCTTGCAGACCATTAAGGGAAGGAACTCACCAAAGGGGAGAGAGACCTATGCACAGTGAAGTTGAGGTATCTGGGGAAGGTGCCTGTCAGTCATACTCGGGAATTGTGATCATTGGCCAGAATGGACGTGTCCAGTGCAAGCCCATGAAAATTTGGGAATACATAATCCCCCAAACAAAGGAATTCTCTTTTTTTGGCTCTTGGCTCGTGGGGCTCTCTTGTTCCTGCTTCCTTGCATTCCCCCATGTTTCCTCCTTAGCCATGTGGCCTGGTGGACCCCACATGTAATGGGCTGATGGACTGCAGCAGGGAGCACAAGCTAAGCCAGCCTGATGCTGAACTGGACTGTCCCAACATGGAATGGAAACTCTGGACACTAACTAATTCTAGCCCGATTGAAGCCACAGCTACACTTCTTCCTTGGTGGAATGAGGGGAAACGGGACCTTGGAAACTCAGGGGTGTAATTCCACAGAAATAAAAAATCACTTATTCTCCCACGCAAGTCTCAGAAAGTCCTTTTTCTCGGGATATCACAAGAATTCCTCTCCCATGAGCAACAGGTAGTGACGAGGACGTCTCCCCACCAATAACATTGGGAATAACTAAAGCCAGGGAACAAAATGCTGCCAGGACCTTTTCTTCCCACCTGATAACAGTGCTTTGCTGTACTCTTCCTCACTGCAAATTAAATTTCTCTACCTGGCTGACAATGTGAACTTTTAAAAATTAGTCTGTGTTATTAGCTTTATGCTGTGGCAGAGATGAACCTGATACATTTTTTTAAAAATATATTTTATTGATTTTTTACAGAGAGGAAGGGAGAGGGACAGAGAGTTAGAAACATCGATGAGAGAGAAACATCGATCAGCTGCCTCCTGCACATCCCCCACTGGGGATGTGCCCACAACCAAGGTACATGCCCTTGACCGGAATCGAACCTGAGACCCCTCAGTCCGCAGGCCGACGCTCTATCCACTGAGCCAAACCAGTTAGGGCAACCTGATAAATTTGATCTCATGTCCAAAAACTTAGAGAAGGATCTCATTTTCCCAGTTTAGGTCAGGTCCCATCCCTGGAAACCAAAAAACAATGGCAGAAAGTGGGTCCCAAAAGAACAGAGCAGCTTCTCCACATGAAGAGAGAGAAGGGAGGAGCAGTCTCCTGAAGAAGGGGATGACCAAACCCAACCCAGAAGCAGCATGTATGTAAGTAGGCGAGTGACAGGTGTTCATCACAAGGTGAGGACAGAAAGAGACAAGGAAAGGGCAACAGGGTCTAGCTGCTAGTCCCCTCCCTTGCTTCACCGACTGAGAAACCAAGGCCCATCGAGGTAGATTCGAAGAGAGAAAACTTCTGGATTTTCACCAGGGAAGCGTGTGTAGTAATAAAACAACATCAAAATATTAAAGACTTTCATTCAAACACTCACCAATAATAATAGCATTCACTGGGAAGGAGAAGATAAGAGGACCATGAGAGAGGAGAATGTAAACCTTCACTAATTCACTTCCTTCATCAGGATGGTTCTCTAAACTTTCATCAGCTGGTGGAGCTTGTTTAAAAAATGAACGTTCCTGGGCCCTGCGCCAGGCCGACTGAATCAGAATCTGAGGGGTAGAGTCAGGAACCATCGTTTTAACAACTGTCTGAGGTTAGTTATTCTGACGCGGGGATTCTTTCTACAAACGCTAGAGAAACACGGCCCCAGAAAGAGCTCTCCTCTCCAGAGAGTTGGCTGGCTTCTTTAATTTAGTGACAGAATTTGATAAACAAATCGCTTTATGGCCACGAGGCATTAAAATATAATAAAGTTTCCAAGAATGGAAAAATAGATTGATGAAAGATAGATAGATAGAAAAATAGATAGATGGATAGATAGATAATAAGTAGGTAAAAGAAAACATCTTGTGTGAGGAGATAGTCATCAGGTTAAACTCTAGTCTTATAAACCGGAGTCATCGAATAGTCACAACCATTGACCTTTCCCAGATAATCACATCTTAAGTAAACATAAAACATTCAAGAGCTTCACATAATATTATGTCATATTGATTTATAATAGAGGTCAGTGAAAAATCACAAAAATTCACTTTTCTAGAAATGGCAGCTGCTTAATTGTTGTATTACCAGAAGGTAATTTATCCATTGATTCTTGAAAAATTTATTTCCCCCCCTCTACCTTTTCATTTGTGGGCACAAGGACATAAGGAGTCAGATATTTGCCACCTCAAAACTATTTACTTTCCACCATTTTCTATAAACTACAAATGTTCTGAACCTTCAAATCCCTCTGTGCATTTTCTCAGACATTTCCAATGCAAGACAAAGACATAAAGACTGAAACAAATCTAGGAAGATGTATATTTATTTCCTTTAATGTATGAAATATAAACTGACCCAATGCCATTCTTTAAACTTGAAATTGTGTAAGAAACAATTCACCAACCAAATTTGCCAAACTCATGGTTAATAGAGCTGTGGGGCGTCAGTAAGATGGGAAAACCAAGGCCCTCCAGGCATGGGTCATGTAGTAATAAATAACAGGCGAATGAAGAACAGAAAAACAATTCTTTTAAAAAGGTGAAAATCCATGAACCTGTACATCACATACACATTAACTCTTACGACTGACTACACAAAAATTCTGGGGTTTCCCAGAATTTCTCCTGATGTGCTTCTTAGTAAAAATGAGTCACAGGAGAGAATCTTTCTTACCAAAAATAAAAAATAAGTCGCTAGTTCACTTACCCCTGGGAGGCTACCGTGTTCCAGGCACTGCAGTGACAGCTGTGAAACGGGCAGACATGGTCTCTACTGTCCAGGGGCTTTCAGTCAGCAGGCAAATCCAGGGCAGTGTGGCGTCAGGGTAGGGGTAACCGAGGGCTGTGAGAGCACCAGGAGGGACACCCAACCTAGGCTTCAGCCTCCGTGAATGTGGACCGCTCCAAATCGAGACCTAAAAAATAAGGCGTCGGCTAAGGGAAGGTACTAAGGGTGCTGAGAGTAGGGGAGAGGTCTCCGTTGAAAGGGGAAAGCATGTGCTACGGTCTGGAGCGAGAGCCATCCCAGAATGATGAAAGTATTACAGGTATTTCAGGTTAGCTGGAGTGTGGGACCCTGTCTCTTTCTCTCACTAAGGATAGCATTGTGGTTACAATTCTAAGGCAGGTGTGAGCGTGTAGGCAGGTGTGAGCCTGTAGGCAGGTGTGAGCGTGTAGGCAGGTGTGAGCCTGTAGGCAGGTGTGAGCCTGTAGGCAGGTGTGAGCCTGTAGGCAGGTGTGAGCCTGTAGGCAGGTGTGAGCCTGTAGGCAGGTGTGAGCCTGTAGGCAGGTGTGAGCGTGTAGGCAGGTGTGAGCCTGTAGGCAGGTGTGAGCGTGTAGACAGGTGTGAGCCTGTAGGCAGGCATTCACAGCGACAGGTGGTAAGGTCCAGGACAGAAGCATGGAAGACCCCAGGAGAACATCTCACTAATCCTCGGGGACAAGGAAAGCTTCCCTGAGAAGCCCTTCATTCTTTGAGCTGAAGGACAAGTAGGAATTCCCAGTCACAAAGGGTGAGCTATGAGAAAACGTCCCCAGGGAGAAGCCAATTAAGAGGGCAGGACAATGACTGATGTCCGGTAAGGAGTGCCTGCCACGCAGATGGAAGGATGGCGGATGGGGGTAGAAAAATACGTAAGGACCAGAGGAAACAGGGTCTGTGTGCCATGGTAAGGATTTGGGATTTATCTTAAGCCTAGAAGGGTCTTTTTTTAAAAAAATTTTATTTCAGAGAGGAAGGGAGAGAGAGAGAGAGAGAGAGAGAGAGAGAGAGAGAGAGAGAGAGAGAGAGAGAGAGAGGGAGAGAGAGAAACATCAAGGATGAGAGAGACTCATTGATCGGGCTGCCTCCTGCCCGCAACCCAGGCATGTACCCTAAGAATCGAACCATGACCTTCTGGTTCATAGGTGGAAGCTCAAGCACTGAGTCATGCTGGCGGGGCCCTAGAAGGGTCTTAAACATGGAAATATTGTAACCATCTCTGCCTTTTAAAAAGATCCTTCTGAAAGAAAAAATCCTACAAATGCTGACTCTAGTTAATGATATGCATGCTTAGGAGGAAGCATGCAGATGTCTGCAAGCTCCTTTGAAATGCTTAAAAAATAAGATTGATGCATGACTAGAGGGCAGGATGGTTGGCTAGAGGTATGAAAACCAAGTAAAATGGTAATGGTAAAATCTAAGTTGTGGATCCATTGTAAATTTCTCTCAACTTTCCTTATGTTTGAAATTTTTCATAATCAAATACTCTGAAATAAAATAGCTCTGGCTGCTGTTTGGATAAAACATTAGAAGGAGGTTGTTTCCTAATTAAGGCAAGAGATGATTATGGTCCAGACAGTAGGGGGAGAAACAGGGATAAGAGAATTTGAACTCAAGAGGTATTTAGGAAGGTAAATCAACCACTTTGGTGATAGGATAGATGTGGAGGGAAGGAGCAGGTGGGGATAAACAATACTCCTCCTTCACCTGCTCTCAATACAAACCAATTGCAAGTTGAGACATGGATGATCAATAGATCTGGGGACAAGAAGGACGCAAATGGCCCACTAAGAACTCTAACTCAACACCTTGGTCAGTGTGCTCAGTGGTTAGAGCGTCAGGGCCCACACATCAAAGGGTGGAGGGTTCGATTCCCGGTCAAGGGCACGTGCCTGGGTTACAGGTTCGATCCCTAGCCCCAGTTGGGTCAGGTATGGAAGGCAACCAATCGATGTATTTCTCTCTCGTGGATGTTTCTCGACCTCTCTGCCTCCTCCTCCTTCCCTTCTACTCTCTCTAAACATCAATGGAAAAAACATATCCTCGGGTGAGAATTAATAAAAAACAAAAACTCTGAATCACTACGTCTCCTCCAGCTGGGCTCTGCCTTCAGACTCTTACCAGGAGACTACTGGCACTCCTTCGCTCTTCTAGTCTGTTCTCAAACTCAGTGGGCTGCAGCACTGCGGGCAACCAACCACCTGTGCGGGGAACAGAGGGAGAGTCATGGGCTGTGGTCTCAAACCAGGGAGGCTGCTCTGCTTCTGCTGCTGCTCCGCCTGCCTCCCCCTCCCCCAGGACCCTCTGGATGCGACTGTAGTTCTGCTCCTGACAATTCTGTGTTTTGTTTTGTTTCTTTGTGGGTTTTTGTTGTTTTATAGCAAAAGTAAAGTTTTATTACAGAAAAGCTCCCTGCTACAGGAGGGAAGGGACCCAAGCTGGTTGCCCTGTGGGTTCAATTTTATAACAAAATAGTTTGGGATCAGCAGCTTCATCCACAGCCAGCCTTGTTCTATCAGCTTTCCGTCAGAAAACTGATTTCTCTGCAAGACTCAATCACAATAAGACACAAATGAGTTTTCCCCGAGTGCTGCACCCGGCCTCTCTAGGGGGGTGTCACCCTGATGACATCTGAGAGGCAGGCTCCATAATTTTAGTTCATTTCCTACAGCCTTGTCCTAGAGACCGTTTGCAAATCCCTCCCGTCCTTCTCCCCTCCATGTGAGGGATGTTCACCAGGGGACCTGTTTCCCGTTCCAGTAATTGCTTCCACGCACATCCACCGCCATCTGAAACTTAACGTTCAACCCAAACTCTCTTTCCTCGTCAAGCCTTAGAGCAGTGGTTCTCAACCTTGGCTGCACATTAGAATAGCCTGTGAATCTTTTTAAAATCCTGATTTCTGGGTCTCATCCTCCGAAAATTCTGTTTCTTTGTTACTAATGTTGTGGCCCCACCCCATAACAAAGAAACAGAATTTCCGGAGGATGAGGCCCAGAAATCAGGATTTTAAAAAAAATTCCCCGGTGATTCTAATGTGCAGCCAAGGTTGAGAACCACTGGTTTAGGCAAGGACATGGGAGCCTGGGCTGGTAATTCTAAAGAGAGGGAAGGGGGGAGCCTTTCTTTTTCTTTTCTGTGGTCTTCCACAATTTATGAGAAGCACCTGGCAATTAAACCCAAGATTGTTAGCTCCTCTAGTTCAAACAGCGGGACAAGATAAGCTACTTTTAAGGCTACATTCTTGCATACCCCTCCTCCCTGCTATTTTTACAACTCAGAGATAATTAGTAAACAGTTCCCTTCAAACAAGCCTCTTTTGAACTCTTCATAACTTTTGCTCTAAGAATGTTTTAGAAGCTTTGGAAAAATACTGATAAGACACCTCTCTAGGACATCTGCCCCTGCCCATACTCTCTCCTGCAGAATTAACAAAGACAACCCCCTGAAGTCTGCTCAATTTCAGCCTCCAAATCCTCCTCCTTTCCTTGTCACCTGTCATCAGCAGCCAAGGCTTTAAAAGGGGTAGCCACTACTGTTCTTTGCCCTTCTATTGATTAGCAACGCACCAGCCCTTTCCCTTTGGAGAAAGGAAAACAAACTTCCTCTATCTCTCTTTGTAGTTGTGACTTCTTTCACAGCCCACACCACTGGCCAAAGACCCTAACAATAACCATCACTGTTCCCAAAATAGAGCCAACACATGTTTCCCAACTTACAATCTGATTAAATATTTTTTATTGTTTTAGAGAGAAAGGAAGAGAGAGAGAGAGAGAGAGAGAGAGAGAGAGAACCATTGATGTGAGAGCCAAAATCAATTGGCTGCCTCTTGCATGCTCCCCACCTGGGATCAAGCCTGCAACCCTGGGCATCTGATGGCAATCGAACTGGCAACCTTTTGGTGCAAGGGATGATGCCCAAACAACTGAGTCACATAAGCCAGGGTCTTTCTTTAAAAACAGACTTCACCTGAGACCCAGACAGCATCTCCCCCTCCCAGAGCTGGAGATCTCCCCCTCACCTGGTTCTTGTGCATCAAATACGGAGTCGTGTTTACCTGAGTTCAGATTCTAGCTCTGCCACTACTCGGCTGAGCTTGCTCTCCCGCCCACCCCCACCCCCACCCCCACCCCGTTACCATAGGAAGCGCATTCACTTTAGGGGTGGTTGAAAGGAGTAAGCCAGACCATATGTAATAACATTCTTGATAGGTCCTTAAAAACAGCAACGTACGCAAAATGACGGATACAGAAACCAATTACTACAGGCTAATTGATACAAACCAGAGTTAAGTTCCTACAGCATCTCATTAACGTTATAATAAAAATGTTTAATGAAACATTATTTGACGGCCTGCTATACTTCATAGGACGATAGTCACTGCCCACTAAGGGAGACCATTACATGGGTTGTGGAGGGACTTTTTGGTTTTGTTTGTTTTGGCTTTGGTCACACATTTAAATTCCCAAAGCCTCACTTTCTCTCTGTATCCCTGTATCCCTGTGCTGCTGGGTCTGCTCTCCAACAGGAACCTTAGCTCCTGGGGGCTGAGCGAGGTCACCGTTACTGTTACAACCCAAGTGGTCCATCCCAGGTAACTACTCGGATGAAGGGGCAGGTGGAACAGGGCAGAGAAAGAAAGGCTTTTGAGGGAAACAAGATCGGAATAAAAATCATGAAGACTTACCCTTGTCAGGCATGATGCCGAGTCATTTTCGTTAACTTTCTTTTTCACTTCTTTTTCCCAACAATCCCACTGTAACAGCCCCCTTTATAGACATGAGAACTAACACCTGGAGAGTTGAACTCATTTTCTCAACGGCGTCCAGCTAGCCAGTGGCAGAGCTGAGAGCGGAATCCGGCAGCTGACCACAGAGCCCAGGATCTCACTCTGTGGGGCCTCTGTTTCTCGGAGAAAGCAAAAGCTCTTTCTCAGAAACCCCGGGGCTCCAGCCGCAGGAAGGCCCTACACTAGGTAAGACCATGCTGACGCTGCTTAACCAGAGCCACCTGGAGTTCCGCATCTGCACCTGCACGAGTAGGAACTGGAGTGAGTAATAAATGAGCGGGTCGTAGAGTCTCCTCAGCCTCACAATCCCTGGAGGTGGGAGGGAGCGGCTCCTGCTTTGAAAGTAAGTATGAAAAAAAAAAAAATACAAACTAGAAGGGTAGTATCTTTCCTCTTTTTACCTGGTTCTTTAAAAATACTCCATGCTTGAAACTGGTGCTGAGCAGAGAGAGCAGCCTTAGGTTCGGGCCTGGAAGGTGAGGTTGGAGTCTCCACCAAGAATATTTGAGATTCTAAACTTGGGCTAGGGCCCCAGTGGTCGGCAAACTCATTAGTCAACAGAGCCAAATATCAACAGTACAACGATTGAAATTTCTTTTGAGAGCCAAATTTTTCAAACTTAAACTATATAGGTAGGTACATTGTTATTAACTTAATTAGGGTACTCCTAAGGCTTAGGAAGAGCCACACTCAAGGGGCCAAAAAGCCGCATGTGGCTCGAGAGCCGGTTGACCCAAAGCTTTTCAAGTTCACTGTGATGGGTCCACCGCCGGTTCCTGGACCTCGGACTGGGCTCTTCCCCTCTCTGGGCTTTAGCTTCCGTGTGTGTGTGTGTGTGTGTGTGTGTGTGTGTGTGTGTGCGCGCAGTTGTTGGGGGTGGTTGTCAGACCTCCAAAGCTTATTCCACCTGCCTGACATGTTATGATGCTGCCTCAGATAGAGGTCCTAGGAGCAGCCAGAGCATCGTGGTCTCTTGAGAGAGCCTTGAAGCTTGCCCTCACCCCTGGGATAGGGGAGAGAATGGAGATGTCTTCTCTGTCACAAGAGCGGGTGGGTCTTCTCTCTGCAGTGGCCATGGAGTGGTGGTGGCAGCTCTTGTTAGGGCTGTGGATAGTCACGCCCATCTGGGCTGGGGACAAGCGGCTCAATGTCTGCATGAAGACCAAGCACCACAAGCCGGAACCTGGGCCAGAGGACCAGCTCTACGATGAGGTACAGAGGCCAGACCTGGTCCAGGGGTCAGGGCGGGCTGCTTCTGCCGATCAGGGAAGGGGCACAAATGCCAAGGTGGTTTCTGAACCCCCATTGAACCTAACTTGTTTGGTTCCTTAGGTTGGAATTTGGGCAAAGCCCCCTGGAGGGACACTATGGCCTTTTGAGACCATAATTGCTGAGTGATTGAAAGTTCCTGTCTCTGAGCTGCCCGGCCACGTGGGGAGCAGGGGCAGATGGGGATTCCAGAGGCCATCATTGGCTCAGCATAGATTCAAACAAACATGGTCTTCCTTCTCTAGCCTTCCTACCAACAGGCCCCGTGGAAACATTTGACTTAAGTGACTCCTCCCCAAGCTCCTAAAGGCAATTGACAGGGATGTGGGAGGAGGAGCAGAGCTGGCATCTACATGGCATTCACTGAGCCCTTTTCAGTTATGATGTCCTCCCACTCGTGCAACCCCACATTCCCACAGGTCTCATGGGGTTCCTCTGCTGCCCCTCAGGAGCTGAGACCCTGGAAGTCATGCTTCTAGGGGACTGGGGCAGCCTCCCAGTGGCAGGGAGGTCAGTGTGCAGGTGTCCTTGGCTGTCAATATTGACAGATTGTTAGCATTCCTTCTACACAGAGGGTGCTGGCCTAAAGGCATTGCACCTGCCCAGGTCCCCTTCTAGGGGACACATTTTCCTTTCTACCCTAGATACTCATCAACCCCCTGCCTTTACCCCCTACCACCCCGAAATTCCTTTTGCTGCTTCTTCCCCTTTCAGTGCAGCCCCTGGAAGGGCAATGCCTGCTGCACGACCAACACAAGCTGGGAAGCCCACCTGGATGAGGCTGTGCTCTACAACTTCAGCCTGATTCACTGTGGACTGATGATACCCGACTGTCAGAAGCACTTCATCCAGGCCAAGTGCTTGCACCAGTGCTCCCCAAACCTGGGGCCTTGGATCCAGCAGGTGGGAAGACTGGGCTGAGGAGGCGGGAGGCACATCTGCGCAATGCCCTGTTCCTGAGAGCCTGAGTCCCAGGACACTAGCAGGAACAGCAAATGCTGTCCCCTGTGGACAAGAGCAGAGTAGGAGGCCGCTGTTGGGAAAGGGATGGAAGGAAGCGGCCTCGGGAGAATGGCCCTGTCGGGAGACGGGTCAGAGGAGCACAGTA